GTACACATTTTTGTACTTAGAAAAACCTTTTAATGTTGACCCTTTGCGTAAATCTTACCGGAAACGAGGAGGACTCTTGCGACATGGAAGTTGCCAATAATTTGTACATAGCCTGTGATTGCAAAACCACAAACATTTCACAATAGTGGAAACCTCTAATTAACCATAGTCAAGGACAGGGTGGATTTGTTTAAAACACATGGTTAATAATGTTTATTGCTCCAAGATCCTACTCTAAAAGATTCTCTGTGGAGGTGAGATAGGTAGGCAGCAAATATTTTTGCAAAATGTTTTCCACTTTGGTGTGTTATATCTGACCCAGACCATTTTACTAATATTGGATTAGACTCTCATCTGATGTAATTTGCCTGTGGGAATTGTATTGGCTGTGAAACTAGCTCCTTTTAATCGCTGTTGGAAAAAAAAGAAGTTAAAATATATCACAATTCTGTGGTACGTTTCAAATGACTGAAGCCAGGTTCTTAGGCACTGAGACAAGAAAGAATGTCAAAAGGGACCTTTCATGTGTATTTATATTTAAACATCAGACCTAACAGAAAACCCTGAAGCTTTCTACAATGATTGGAGCCTTGTAAGAACCTAATTAACGTAGCGTCGGGTGAATGGTTGGCCTGGCACGCGAGCTGTTCTGAGCGGCATGAGGAGGGCTCAGGTATCGCCTAGAAAGAATACTTTCAGTTAGTGATTCAGTGGCTCATCAGAAAGAGACCCGGAAAGGCAGCTTTGTCTGGCTTGACGCCTTTTCAGACCCACTTGATAATGCTCGTGTCAGTTCCAACTAAAGCCTGTGCCAGATTGCAGATAGCTAGAGCTGGCATTTCAAAGTGGTTAATTGTGAAACTTGAGAAGAAAATGGGCACATTCTTCCTTAGGTGGCTATTCAAAGACAGTCTCCTCCACCCCCACCCCGCTTTGCCCCCACAGCTCCAAGGGTCTCACTTTTGTTCTGTTCCCGCATGAAATGCATGAGGAACACTGAGCCTTTCCCACAGCAGCATCTATGTTCATGTCTTTGCTGGGACTGCTTTGCCTTGTTAAAATGTGTCCCGTGTATTAAAATGAAATTGTCACTGCTGGGTGGTGCTGAATAACATGGTTTGACACTAAGTGCCGGCAGCTACAGAAAACAGACTTTTATTGCATTTATTCTTTCAGCGACGAGAGTCTCTAAAGGCTCACTGCAGACGTTCACTTAGTTAAATCTGAATGAAGCCAAAGTGAACAATCTATGCTGTTGTCTCTGTGTTCATAGAAACTGTCCCCATCCAATTTGATTTGGCTGTGAAGCAGTCTTAAGAAAAGATGATCATTCTTAGAATCCAAAAGACTTCAGGCTTTGAAGTCTTAACAAAAATATTTTAGGTGGGTACAGTAGGCTAGCCACCTGATTTTCTTCTTCAGCATCCTCTGTATTCCCTAAATACATTTTATAGCACACACACACACACACACACACACACCTACTTTTAGTCTTCAGTTAGAATTCCATGTCCTTTTAAGACAAAGAGAAAGGATTTGATTTGTAGGACTCTTGCAAGCTAGCTTTAGATTCTTAACTGCCTTTTATCTAGATGAGTACCCAGAGAGAGATTGAACAGGGAGGGGACTCAGGGGCATGAGCTTTTCATTTTGTAGCTTTCCTGGAATAACAAATTCCATAAAGCAACATCTGTAGTAATTAAGGGCTTACATTTTCTTCTCCCATTCATGTCTCCACTAGAAGAGAAGGTTATTTTCCCTGAGAGACAAAGATAGTGGATCCTATGAGAAGAGAAATAGAGCAAAATTAGGATTCTTTTGTTCCTAGAAATGGGTGTTTCCTATTTCAAATAAATAGATAAATTAGTAGAAAGACTTTTTATAAGATATTGTACTGAAAGACAACTTGAAAAAATTAGCTGCTCCTAAATATTCGAAATAGAGAAAGAGTTCACTTGTTCTAATCCAAATAGTTTCCACTTTTGAGGAAGCTGTGATTAAGGGGTGAACAAGATGCTATTTTTGGTTTATTTTTTTATTTATCAAAATTTAAAGTTATCACATCTGTCATTTTCTTTTCATTTTGACAATATTGATTCAGTCTTCAGATGTCCTTAATATTACTTACACCAATCCACTGGGTTATCTGAGAAATGAATATTAACCTAACAATGTCACATCAATTTCCTATACATTTTTTTGTCATAGCAGAAGCAGCTGCATGATTTTATGGTACCTAGTGAAAGATAAAAACGTAAGAACTCTTTATAGAAATTTTTGGAAGCTTAATCCTTCCCTTATAGCACTCACACAAGCTATCACAGCATTGTCTTCAAATAGGAAAAGAAAAAGAAATTCCTAGAAGAAAACACAAGAAAAGGATTGCTTGACTTTGATCTTGGCAATGATTTTATATATATATATAAAGCTACAAAATAGAAAGCAAGTGAATGGGACTACATTGAACAAAATGCTCCTATCCAGCAAAAGAACAATCAACAAAATGAAAGGATAACCTAAGGAATGATATATCTACATCATATATCTGATAAGGTGATGGGGGTGGAGGTGGATAGGGAGAAAGTGGGGTCAGGGAATTGGTTAAGGAGTCAAAAAACTTAGACTTCTAGTTAGCAGGTAAAGTATTAGGTGTGTCACCTATAACATATGAACCACACCACACTGCAGTAGGGGCTACATAAAAGTGGTTAAGAGAGTTAACCCCTTGTGGTGCAAGGGGTTAAAACACAGCACTATGAAGCTATCCACAGCCACTGCAACATGAGTTTGATTCCCAATCAAAGAAGTGACCCACGTGGCATGACAGACCTCTCCTGACTTGTCTGATGAGCCCTTCAGCAATGTATTTTAGTCGATCTGCCTGTTCAGCTTCCCACCCTGTCTCTGGAAAATCCTCTCAACCCCTGCACCTCTGGCCTATACCCCAGTTCTTGTATGAATAAATAAATAAATATTTATAAAAAGAGAGGTAGAGAGAAAGGGGTTAAGCCCTCATCCCTCTTGTTCTCATCACCAGGAAAGAGGGGGAGCATTCTTTTTATTTTTGCATTCATATGAGACAGTGGATGTTCACTAACCATATCATTGTGCTCTTTTCACACTATGTGAAGCTCAACACATTATGTTATACATCTCAAACTTACAGTGCTCTATGTCAACTATTCCTCAAAAAATTGGGGAAGGAGTAAGGCAATACACCTGAACACCTTATTTAAGACACGAATTTCAAGATGATAATGACAGAGCTTTAAGCCAAAGTGGGTCCAATGGTCTGTGGTAACACACAGGTTTTATAATGTGAGGTCCATTCTATTTGGCAGGTAGAGATATTCTTCGAATTCCTTAATCTGGTGATTCAGATACCCTTGCCTGTACCACCCAACTTATTTTCAAGAGTTTCTCTGAAAATTTTACTCCAGTCTGCTCCTTTGACTCATTAATAACTTTCACCTGCCCAGCCAAGCCACCAGCCCTAATCACTCTCCCCAAGGCCTTTCTAGCTTTTCTCAGCATCAACCTGGCTTTGGAACTCTTCTAGCTGTAATGTATATAAAATTGATTTGGTATTAGTGTCCATGTTTATTCCTGTCTTTTTTTTTTTTCCTCTACATGTTTTATGGCCATATAAAATTATCTTGAAAACACACATCAAACTTAAATCTAGGAAATGTTTATAGCTTGCAAAGGGGTTCCGTTCCAAAAAGCTCATATTAACACAACACACTAAATAAAATTATGATTTGTCTTTTAGGAAAATCTAGAGTTTCCATACACATTCTTTCATGAGTATGTATTTTTTGCCTCTGTTGTATACAGTGGAGGACTTACTTTCCTTTTTCTTTTTAAGATTTTATTATGCATACAGAACTGCGGTGCAGGCCAGAGGAGCAGGGGTGGTGAGAGGATTCACCAGATACAGAGTGGGGTGCAGAACAAGCAGAATGACACTGCTGAGGGGAATAGTGGGTGGGCCTGGAGAGGTTTGCAGTGCCATAGGGGTCACCTCCAATTAGCACTGAAGCGGCTACGGCTAGCTTGCAGTGCTGCATGCTTTAACCCGTTGTACCACCAGGGAGGGCCTGGACTTAATTTCTTTTAATTAGATTCAACCTTTTCATTTTATCTTCTCTAATTTTCCCAAGGTCAGATACATTTATTATCTATAAATTATTTCCATCACTACTAGAGTTAATTTATGACCCCTGGCAATGTTGACATTCTGAAGGTATGTCTCAAAATATTCGTTTACTAGTTTATATGTAATCTATTTGATACAAGAAACCCAGATTAGGAATATTAAAATAGAGTATGAAAGAAAAAGGATTGTCCAGAATTTAAAACTGAGAGACTTTAGTAACTAAGGTATGAGTATTTATATTCTCCTCTCATTGGGAACCCCAACTAACTCTTTTTTTTTTTTTTTTGTATACATCAGCCAGTGAATTTTCCTTCAAATTGTCATGATGTAATTGATGAAGACATTTTAATGTGCCTTGAGGAATCCCTCAGCAGCAGCACTTAGTAGTCACAGTACAGACGTTGGTGTCAGACAGTTCTCAGCGAAGAGCTGACTTTGCTACTTATTGGCAAAGCGGTTCTTGTCTTTACAACTTGGCTCCCTGCCTTGTTCTGAAGAGCAATAGCAACAACGACATTTCAGGTTTGCAATTTCAGGCATTCCACACATATTTAGTAAGCATTTGCAACTGCAAACATTGAGGTAGGGATTCAAGAAGATAATCCATAAGTATCACCATTGTGAGGACAGCAGCCACAGAAACACATTTCCATAGAGTGGTAAGCCACAATGTTGTGTTGGTGGCTCATGGTGATCTCATCAGCAGATGACAATTCTGGTGAAATTCTCAAATCAAGTTTTTCCTGGCTTTGCTATTTTTCCTTTACATTGTGTTTATTTTTTCCTAGGTAATACCTAAGGTAATGAAACTATATAATCTTCTGTGTATATCTTTTCCCAGAATGGAGTCTACTGAAAAATGTGAAGTGGTCATACAACATTTTAATGGAAAATACCTGAAAACACCACCAGGTATCCCAGGTACGACATGCTATAAGTAGTAATTAACTGTTGTTCAGGCTTCTTGCTAGTTATAGTGTGAGTGCATGGGAAGACTTCGGTTGGTTAGTGGGAAGAAAAAGGGTTGCTTTTATGAATGTGCATTTTTAATACTAAGCAACTCATCTGTCTCAAAACTAACAAAAGTTGCTTTGTGATTCTTCGTTGGACTTTCTTTAAAATATCTGCTATTAGTTCTCTGAAAGAAATTAGAAGAAATGTATAGCAAAGCGTAGTTAAAAATATAGTTGAAATGAAGGATGTTTATGATGCCTATTAATATTGATACTAATAGTGATGTCTGATTTATAAAATATATAAATGGTGATGTTCAAAGTTGATGCCAGTTCCCAAACATTTCCTAAAATGCAGGACAAGAAAAGCACAGAAAGTAAGAGCAAGCATTGAGAAACTTATAGCATTTTGGCATTATCATAAAATCTGAGTGCATAATTTCATATTTTAGAAAAATGTTATTAATGAATTTTTAAAAATAACTACTCATTAGAGATAGTCTGAGAAAGATGAATCCAGCCTATCTCAGGGCATTTCAGATTTTCCAATGCAGTAAATTAAGTGTTAAAACTAACTATAATAAGCAGGTAAAGAAATATTAAAAACTGCTACTTTATTTGCTGTAATCTTTTGATATATTTTTACTCTTGATTTTGGGAAATTATCTGGGAAAAATATTACTTCAGTTTTATGACATCTTTTCATTTTATATTTTCATTTTAAAGCTATATTTCTATAGTTTTTGCTGTGTAATAAATCTACTTAAAAATTATGGTTAGAGAGTTCAGAGATTGAGCATATTAGTTCCTTAAGCTATATTGAATAGAAGAGGATGTCTGAACAGAAAGATTTTTGTGGGGAATCAGGGTCTTATGATTTAGGGAGTTGTGGGGAATCAGGGTCTTTATGCTTTGGAGAGGTTGGTATTAGGATAGGAGAAAAGCCCTTCAGACTTGGATAATATGGAAAAATTTAAGTACCATCACTGGTTAATCGAGTCAGCAGTGAACTCTATGCTTGATCTGGTTGGCTTCCATGTGTTATGTTCCCTGGAAAACTAACTGCATTATAATCCAATTGGAGACATATGGTGTTGTTAAGAAAAGAGTTAGCAGTTTTCATCTCAGCATGTAAGCTGTCCTTGCATTTTAGAAGAAATATTTTTTTTCCCTTTTAGCTTTTAAGACATTTAAAGACACTCTGTTCAGACCATTATGGAATACAGGTGTTGTATTGTTAGAGGATTTCTCCACTGACTTATCCCTTAGTATCCAACAGATGCCTGCCTATAAAGAACACTGACAAACCAAGCATGAGTTATAGGATGCTATTAAAAATTGAAGAATAAGAAAATTTTGTAGAAGTTATTGTTGATTCTAGTTTTAATGCAGCTTTTCCTTTCAAACCTTTCTTCTGCTTTGAAAAAAAAAATTTTAAATTCTTCTTGACCTAACTGATTTGAAACTGTTTTATTTGATATATAAACCATAAGACAAACAATTGACTAATGCAATTTAATGATAAAGACAAAGGGCATCACTACAAATCCCAACTGTCTGGGCATCCTTTCTGAAAAGGCAGACAATCTAAATATCTAAATATCATAGCTACACCCAATGGAGGTATTGTGAATAGCACAAACTTGGAGATGAGTTTCTCACTCACTTTTATCTCTTGGGAAAACAAGAGGGAAAATCATTGTGCTCACTTCTAACACTCTTAGAGATGTAACTCTAGCTTTTGAGATCTTTCACTCTTCTTAATAGAATTAAATACATATATTATTCATTATCAGAATCTGCATTTGCTTAGTTCATTTCTTTGAAAGTCAAATAGACTAGTATAAAGACATCAAATGCTAACTGAAAATAGTGACAATTTGGTATTTAAATCTGAAGTGGAGTTAAAGATGTGAGCATTTTGGAAGCTACCATAGTGAAATGTCCTCTTCTGAATACATTTACTGGATCGTAACAGCAATAATCAAATGTGAGTGTATGCTATTTACCTTTATTTGTCTTCATGCAACTTCTTGTGGATAATCAAAAGTTTTGAAAAAGTCCTATCTAAATCCAATTTTCTATCCATCCTGAACTTTCTGAATAGAATCTCACTATCTTCCCTGATATCATTGCAAGGAAGTGTTTTAGTGTATATTTTTAAAAGGAGTCACCTATTTCCTCAATTTTTAAAATACGACTTTAGCATTAGAAAGACCATCTTTCCTTTCATGTATACTAATTTAAAACAAGTGACCTGGCAACCTATGTCTCTAGTAGAATTGTAAAAATCTCAGCAATCCACATGATTAAGACATGGGTTCACTCAGTTAAGGAGTTTGACATTATACAGAACTTCATGTTGATATCTCTAAGCCAGTGTTTTAAGGGTGTATAATGAGTGACCCACAATGATGCAAAAGTGAACTGAGGTCTTCAGGACCTACGAAAGCTGTTGAAGAGTTTAAATAGTCAGTTGGTGAATGCTCTCTTACTAGAGGCCTGCTTTTATTATTCATTCATTCATTCATTCATTCATTCATCCATTCATTCGTTCATTCATTCATCATTCTAATGCTCATGCCAGGGCACATTTGTTTGTTTGTTTTTAATATTTATTTTCTTCATTGTTGTTACTTTGGGGCTGGATTTGGTTTCCCCCACAGGTGTAGACCCTGTATTTTTACCACCTGCACTCAAGATCCACTTCCACATTCCCCTTTCTGGAGACCTGCTTTTAACTTTCAGCAAGTGGAGAACGATTGATACTATATTGTCTCTACTAACTTCCCCATTAAAGTAAGATGTGAAACTGGGCAAATGTAGTTGACATTTTGGTTCCTGTCATTTTTTATCTTACCCCACCCCCCCCATTAAAGGAAATGCAGAAATGATTATTTTCCTGAAATGATCACTTCATTTTCAAATCCCCTTTGAAATCTTGTCAAACCCAAGCTTTAACTTAACAAGTTTTGTTCTTACTTTTGAATTCTAGAATCATCACTGTTCAGAATATTCACAGGAACTTCTAACACTGACCACATTTATGTTGTTGTCTCCATTTTGATTATAATCACTCTAGGAATAATTGCTCATTAAATCTGACTCATGTTGGTATTTCATTTTGATTCCACAGAGATTATGTGAGTGGGAAGAAAACTGTAGATATTTTCTCTTAGAGCTCTCTCCTCTTGGGCTCCTCCTAGTTGCCCCTAAAAGACCTAATTTTAAGGGACATATTGTGATTGTTAATGGCTGCAGTGTCATAGAAATAGCTCTCTTCACTTTGAATTATAATATCATCCTCAGATTTTGGTTACCTGGTTCAATGAAGCTATATAGACATACCAAAAATAAGATCAGTTGAAGTGTGCTTTACATGGTATAGGAAATTAACAAAAATCAGACAGCTGTGTTGCTATTAGCAGAAGGAAGGAAACGCCAAAGAGTGTTAAACAGCGTCAATCATTGTAGCCATCCACAGAAAGAGATCATCAGTAGTTTCCCCTTCCCCTAGAGGGAAAAGAAAACAGTGTTCCATAAATGTTGCATGTCCTACATATTGATCTTGATGTTTTCTGTACAAAATGAAGGATCATTAGTTGCTTGCCTGCCTAACCCCAGACATTTCTTTGTCCCATAATGAATTGTGTGGCAGTGCTGTACAGCCCCAAAGAGCTGCATTTCCCAACCTCAGGCAAAAGCAAAGGATAAGTTTCCAGATACTTCAGGGATCTTTAGGGCATGAGCTTGAAAGGCTCACTTTCAAAGAGCCCCTGGAGCAGAGTGTGCACCATGTGGAAAAGTCTTCCACGTGTCAGAACATGTATTGATGAACAGAACAGGCAGGCTAGTTTGTAGAAAAATAAATCACAGTTTGCTCTCAAAGGAGACTTTGCCTGTAAGCACATGTTCCTATGTGTGGAACAGTAATTCCAGAAAAAAAATGGAATAACCCACTTTGAATGAGATTTTCTTACTCTTTAGGTAATATTTTCTAATCCCAACTGTATGTCAAGAAATAAGGAAGGATTGAGAGTGTTCACCATATTTGGGGATCTTTTTAATTGGAATAAATCTTTGTAATTGAGATTGACAGAAATTTGGATAAAAATTGAAGGAGAAATCTTATTTTCTAGTAAACTAAACTGTGCCTTCTTGATGATTTTATATATGATGTTACCATAGTATGTGATATAAATAAGAACTGTATAATTGTGGACATGTGTGTTATATGTGTGTGCATGTACATAATGTGGATATGTATGTGTATATATATATAGCTCATGGTAGCATATGAGGAAATATTTAAAGGCTGATCATTGTTTTAAGAAAACTAAGGAAGAATATGATTTAAAATTAATACTTCTATGTTAAAAGCACCACTGTAGTTTAATAAAAATTGTATTCAAAGATGCTTAATTATGAATATTTGAGTAATAGATTTATAAGTTTTTATTAGTGGAAAATATTTCAGCCAGTGTTTCCATGGTGGTATCAGTCTTAAATCCACAAACTCACTTATCGTTGATTAAGAGACAACACACAGTAAAATATCATGGTGTATAGTGTAGGTACAATACATCTTTATGGCTCTACTCAGGTGAAGCATTACCTAACTCGGAGTTTTTCATCTTTTTGACACTAAAGCTTCATGTATATAATAAATTTCACAAATACTACATTCTCCCCAGTGGGGATCAGTTTGATTTATTTTTAATAAGATTTTCTTAATATGTATGAATTCTTTTGCAAAACCACTCATCTTTAATGTTGGTGATGCCTCCCACACTATTTTTGCTAAAGAGTTGCTTTATGATAAAACAATGTTAGAATATTACTTGTCAACTTTACAACTTCATGGTCAAAAGAATCTTTACAATCTGTATGAATTCTATGCCTGTGGACTTGGTCAGTCATTTCTCAAACTTCAGGTTGAAAAGGTAAACACATTATAAAGGTAAATAT